AACAACAACACCCCCCCACCCCACCCCCAAACAAACAAACAAACAAAACCCTACAACCAATCCTCTATTTATTATTTTATAAATAGTAAACATTTTTTTGGAAACTATATTACTATATTAGTTATGTCTGTTCCAAAAGTGACGGAGTTCAGTGAAAGTTAAAAATTAAAGACAGTGCTTTCCCATCAACCTTTTAATTCTTTGTAATAATTGTTGTCTAATTCCATTGGCTAACTCTGTGGGATTTTTTTTAACACAGTTTTTTTTCCTCTCCTTCCTTGTCAAATTTCTGGAGTTGAGAGGTCATAGTCTGAGATACCCAGTGATCTTTCAACACAAACTGTTAAAGGAGAGTGAGGTAGAATTGGTCTTCTCTACTTTAGACTCTGTAAAGTTTAGAAATTACTTTTGCCATGAAAAATTGGATAGTTTTCAGTAATGACTGATACAGGAATTTTGCTGGAACATAGAAAGTGAAGTTTTGCTACTTACTTGAAATAAAAAAAAAGAAGCTAATGAACAAGATTTTTCTTCAAGACACTACTGATTGCTCTGACCTCATATAAAATTTGTTTTGTTTTTCAGATTTTGGATCACTCTTTGATCTGGAACATGACTTGCCAGATGAACTGATCAGCTCCACAGAACTGGGACTCACCAATGGTGGTGATATCAATCAGCTGCAGACAAGCCTTGGCCTGGCACAAGATGCTGCCTCTAAGCACAAGCAGCTGTCTGAACTTTTACGGGCTGGTAGCTCCCCAAATCTCAATATGGGGGTTGGTGGCCCTGGTCAGGGCATGGCCAGTCAAACCCAACAAAATAGTCCTGGAATGGGAATGTTAAACAGCATGGTAAAAAGCCCCATGGCACAGGCTGGGTTGACTTCTCCCAATATGGCGATGGGTGCAAGTGGACCAAACCAGGGTCCTTCAGCTCAATCCACCGCAGGAATGATGCCAACAGTAAACAGTCCAGTTAATCAGCCTGGCATGGGAATGAACACAGGGATGAATGCTGGCATGAATCCTGGGATGTTGGCAGCAGGCAACGGACAGGGGATGATGCAGGGGCAAGTGATGAACGGTTCAATTGGAGCAGGCAGAGGGCGACCTAATATGCCATACCCAAACCCAGGAATGGGTAGTGCTGGTAACTTGTTGGCTGAGACACTGCAACAAGGCTCTCCACAGATGGGAGGTCAGGCTGGACTGAGAGGGCCACAGCCTGGAGCCATGAACAAGGTAAGACAAGCTAAGCTTGACTTTATTACCTTCCGTCGTCTTGTTGACTTTGTTTTGTAAGATGTATTCCTCTGCAGTATGGGTTCTACAGAAAAGGATTTTTTTCTTTTAAGAGTCCTGGATCATGTGGAAATAGTTTATATGCTGCTAAAGTGGAATTTGTGGGAGTCATGGGAGGTGAAAATTGAGTCTTGCACAACAAGCAAGGCTAATGCTAGATTAAAAAGCCTGTTTTGGAAATCTTGTCGCAGCATAGATTATCAACAACACTGAAAAGTAACTTGGTTGTATTTCATTGTGTTTTATGCTTTGTCCACAAATGTATTTTCCCATCCAATGTGATGCTGGTATTGTGAGTGTGATGGAAATCCATCAGGGCCTTTTAGATGTTGTGATGCTTTTTTTCTGCATGACACTTAGTGAGGGTATTTGTTGTCTGAGATTAGCATTTGTTTTTGTGGTAGCAGATGAGAAAAGGCACATACAGGTTTGCATGGACTTATACATTGTATGTGCCAAGACATACATTGACCTTGTTAAGAAACACGTATTTGAGTTATTGGTGGAGAAAGAATGCTTGCGTAAACACCTGAAGACAAATGTTGGGTTCTTAAAGACTGTTAATCCAACCCAGTTCTAGTTTTAAAATGTAGAAGGGTTTTGTATATAGGAGAGTAAACCAGAAAGCTGAAAAAAAACCTTTTTATACTGGAGAGGGAAATAGATGTGCTTTTGTAATTTAGGAGTTTGGAAGAAGGTTGTCGTGGGTCTCTCTGAAAAGGTGAGAGAAGACCTAGTGGTTTAAGTCACAAGGAGATGTCTAAAATTTTTATCATGCACAATTAGCTTTTTTAGAGTAGGGAGCCAGTTGAGTATTTCTTAAGTTTTTAGTGTTTTGATCAAAAGCCTAGAAAATACTTAAATATTTCTGTTCGCTTTAGGTGGGTATTTTGTGTTTCTTGGCTAGTGAGGAGAAAGATTGTCTAAGGTGCTTTGCAATACCTGCTTAGATCCATCTTGGAATGCCTAAAGTCAATCCACTTGGAGGGCTTGGAATGATAAGTAACATAGTCTATAAAGGTATTTGAAACATAAATGAAAATTATGCTCTGTATTAATGGTTTTGCTATGCTTTAATGTACTAAATAAAATTATTTTAGTGGCTCGTGAACGTTATTAATTATGAAGTTTTTTGATCTTAGCTGTTTGCTTAAGCTTAGTGTGCTGCTAACAGTGATTCTGAAATGTGCTGTACATCTAAAGTAAGAGCATTTTGTGCTTTTGGGAATATTCAGACCAAATACATGATAACTTCTGGTTTTTAATTCATAGTCTGACACTGGTTAAAAATACTTAGAGGAGTTTAATTGCTGGTAAAAAACCTTGAGACTTTTCATGTAAGTATAGTGGGTATAGCCCTCGTAAAGGAGTTGAAACTGCTGCATGAGAAAGAACAGTCTGAAATGGAGGCTGAAATTCCAGAATGTCTTCAATTGGTTTGGTTGTTGGCAGGGAGCCTGTGTTTCACTTCATGCAGTGGAGTTAGCAAAATCTGACAACAGTAATGTCTGACCGTTTTATCTCTCCACCCATCTGCTTTTGTTTTTCCCACCTACAAATCTTCAAAGAGTAGATGAAAACAGAGGACCCTAAGCAGTTGTTTTTAAAAGCCAGTTTTTTAATCGGTGTATTTAGTACTGTGTTGCTGTTAATGTGGGAGTTTGTGTAATAACTTCTGTAGGTTTCCTTCATCGCTGCAAAAAATGTGGATCATCCAGGAGCTGTCCTTCAGTAGGAGAAAAAAATAGACCAGGCGCTTTGGTTGTGTTCAACTTCATCATGTTAGCTTGCTGAAGTCAGCCCCTTTAGGTGATGGGAGGGTTGCCTTTGTGAGTTTTCTTTCAGTAAAACAGAGGTGTGTTGTCTGCAGTGGTTTGTACAGAGGAATAACTTAGGTTTCCTGTGATACTAACTAATTGGGAGGGAGGATGTTATGCTCTTCTAAATCTAAAGATGAGCTCCAAGTGCTTTGAAAAGCAAAATTGGTTACGTTCCTGCTTTGTTCTGTTGTCCTGTGGAGTTACTGAAGTGTTTTCTTCCTCTCCTCCCAAAACATTGGCTAGAATAGAGTGGAACACTTGCTTTACACATTAGCCACGTACTTCCCAACTTTTTTAGTGCATGTTACTTTCTAGGACTCAAAATCCCAAATGTCAATGTAAATGATTGATTTGGGGTCACCTGGTATACATAAACTTGTACTGTCATAATCTGCCGCATACATCCTGTGGTCTAATGCTGTAATTTTGTGTGTGATGTAAGCAGTCACTGACATGCAAAGAAGCAATTCTGTCTGCATGCCATCTCTGTGCCAGTTGCATGACAGGCTGTGTTAAGGAACTAATCCAGGCTTGAAATTCACATGGTCATTTAAAAAAAAGTTTTAGTTTGAATTGTTTTTCTGGTCCAATTTATACTCATCAGTTGGAAAGCTAGTGCTGATACTAGGAGGGGACATATTAAAGGAGTTGATATTGCCAGTCAGAGGAGGGTGTGGACCCTGCTTTGGTGACAGTACCAGCTTAAAAATGCCTCTGAAAGTCTAGCCTGAAAGAAACTGTTAGAAGTTCGGAGGGGAAAGGAATTGTAACCAGGTTTGCTTTCTTGAATAGCTTTTTGTTTTCTATGTGCTTGGTTGTGTGCAAGGTTGGAGGATGACAGGCATGCCTACTGTTCTTAAAATAGAGTTTTGGAAATTGTTTGTGATGCTTTGATTCTTTCAGTGGTTAAGCATTTTTTGGGCTTTTTGTTTCACTAGGTAGTTTTACAGCTTTGATTAATTGAGAAGTAAACAGATAGCAAATTCAAGCTTTCCAATAAGTTAAGAACAAATTCATGTTTCCTGTTTTGAACCATTCTTTGTTTGGAATTGTATCTAGTTAAAACCTTCACTTTGTTGTTCCACTGGGTTCTGCTGAGAGTGCCCAGTTACAGTCTTATTGTCCAGCCTCTTACTAGGGGAGGAGGGTATTTTGTGTCTAAGTTGGTGTGTGCATTTCTGTGATAGCCATGCTCTATCACAACATGACTAAGCTCACGTAGCCTTCAGGTCATTTAAGTTTCATCTCCCATGATTCAAGAAATGTTCTGTTACTCAAGTAATGAAATGGATGTGAAGGCAGTTCAGATTAGTAAGGTCATTACTACTACCACTGCTATGTGAGTATTTCACTCGCATGTGAAATTACTTGAAATGTTCAGAGTTCCAGTCGTAATTCTTTGTCATTTGGCTTACTGTTTGAGTATATACAGGGTTCTTTCCTATTATAATGGATACACTTGGTTTTATCAGCTTAACCTCTGTTAAGAAGAATCGATAGCAATATTTTACAGAGACAAATGTAATTCTTCAGAATCTCTGTAACTTCCTTTAAGTAAAACAGTAAGAAATTTCAAAATAATGAAGTTCTGTTCAAAGTTGCAGAGAGATTGAAGATGATGTCACCCCCAAATTGTAAAATTAGGTAAAGAAAATAAAAGCACCTTATGTTCCTTAACGTTAGCATATTCAGTGTCACATTTTAGGTAGAAGGTCAGTGTTTTTGGTTGCCTTATTATTTTCATTAGCTGTTTGATTCAACAGGTGAATGTATCCATACTGTTTAGACTCTGTGACCAAGCGTACCATACGATCAAGTACAGTAATCCATTACAAGTGTAGTTGTGTGTTCTGGTCCTTTGCTTTTTCTTCTTTGGTGAACCAAGGTGAAAAAATGGATGATGGAGGAATGTTTGTTCATGAGGGAGAAATGGAGCAGTAAAGACTTCTCTCTGAGTCTAAGTTTCTGTGGTGGATAGGGGAGTTTCTTGCACAGATGGCAGTGAAATAATGCTAGTGTCTTGCAATAGGTATCTTAAAACATTATGCAGTCAAGCAAAGAGTAATGATCGGTAACAGTCCTTGGAAAGAATGCAGCAGATACCAATGCAAAATTTTGTTGTTAGGTTATGCCTGGGTCCAGTAATGCACTACCAGTCAGTTGAATGGCACTAGAAAGTGACGTACAATAAATTCTTGTTTTTAAAGAGGCAGCTGGAATTTACTAAAACTAACTTTCCTGTTTTGGGAAAGTTAATTAACTTCCACTTGTGAACGTGGATATGGAAAGATACTAGATACCATCAGTATGGTCTTAAACTAGTGCACTGCAGTTACCCTGATGAAGATACGTAGTTGATACTATAAATGTTGGATTATCTGGAAGAATGTTATTAATTCTATTTCTTTACTTCTCCATGCTTACATTTATCTTTGCAAATCTTAAAACTGGTCATTGTTCAATACTGTTGCTGATATCTAGTTGTCTTTCAAATATTAGACTGCCAGTGAGGCAGTTGTTTCTATAGAGAAACAGTAGAATATTCGTAATGTCTACATGCATAGCTGTAACAGTATTCCTCCTCAATTTGTACTCTGTGATATCAACAGTAAAACTAGAAGCAGAGTTAGTCACTTGACCTTCTGAGCTGAAGATGTATGTGTTTCAGGGCATAAGAACAAAATTTCGGGGAATTTCCTCCACTTTTGTAGTTATTCTTCTCAGATGTGGGGAGTGTCAGAGCAGCCCTATCGGATGCTGCTCATGCTTATACTTGTGAACTGGGATGTTTCTTGAACTTGTCATCCATGCCATTTACATGGTGAGAGGTGCACATCTTCCACCATTCTGGTAATGACAGCCCCTGCTTCCATTGGAGGCAGGAAAGTCAATTTGTTTTCCACTGTGTATGAGGAAGGTGTAACCATTTGATATTACCTTTGCCGTCTACTAGCCATGCGCATCATCTTTTGCTGTTTTCCTTATTTCTTCCTCTTCTCCTTTACTGTGATGTGGATTTCTGTCTGCTCTTCCTTGTGTGCAAGTTCTTGCATATGTGATGAAAGTAAGTTGAGGTTGTGAGGTGAGGGGAGGAAGAGAAACAACAGATGGGATGGCTAAGAAGAGAAATGGGAAGAGCAGTGGAAGGAGGTGGTGGCCAGGAAGGAGTGAGTAGAGGTTGCACGGGCTGACTTGTAGCTATGATTCAGCCATGTATGTTTTTGCATGGTATTGCAGGTGAAGCCTTGCACTTGTCTTATGCAGTGGTACTAACACTACCTTTCTTTGGCTGGTTCTTCTGCACTCGATTGTTTATCTACCCCTCACTCCCAATAGATCATTAATATGATGATGAACTATATGTCAGTCTTTCTGGTTGTTTCCTACTGATAAAATTCTACAGAATTATTTTTATATTCCTTCTGTAGTCATGAGGTCATCCATTTCTTCCTTTTTTATGTTTTCTTTTATTCATGTTTCTCAACATGTCACAGCAAATGACATGAGCATGCTCCTGCTTCTTGTGTCAGGGTCACAAGGCCACCTTGTGCCACGTGAAGAATCTCCCAAATGACCCTTCTCTTGACTCAGTCTAGAGTTGCATGCAGGTTGTTGGTGTCAGGTTAGTGGGTCTGTGACAGCAGGACCAGGGGAATGGCATTGCTGTGAGATTCAGCTGTGGATCTGGCAGGCATCAGTCTCACTTGGACCAAGTGATGGCTGCTGATTTGTTCCAGACGACCTTGTGGCATTTGGTTTTTAGCATCCTTCTTAGGTGTTGCTTGAGTTTGTGGCTGTCAAAGTAAGTTTGGCGTGCTTGTCCTCCGATCTGGCCTGTGATTCTCTGGTCCTCTGGTCTTCGCCTCTCCTGTAGGCTGAGTCGGGGAACTGAAGATTACCCCTGTAGGGAGCAGCTGGGCTGAGCTGGTCATGTAGTCTTCTGCTGCCAGGTCGCTGGGTACAGCGGTGTGGAGGAAGTCCCCTCGGTGAGGTGGATGATGGTTCTCAGCCCTAGGGAGAGTGGAGCCCTGCATTTCTGCCATAGAGACAGCCTTGTTTGAGGGGGCTGGTTTTGCACCTCAAACAGTGCCAATGGCTCATGCTTGAGAGCATCAGAGATCTTTGCACTGGGCCAACTTGATGAGTACATTTGAAAAAGCCAGATGCTTCACATAAAGTTTGTCTCCAGCTGTATTGCAGATACAAAGGTTGACTAGCATGGTCAAACGTCATCCCTGAGTTTCATCAGAAAGCTTCCATTTTGGGTGACACAGCAAAGGTGTTTTTTTAAGTCTAGGTTTGGGTTTCTACCCCTGCAGTCAAGACAGAGCTGGCTCATCAGGCCACAGTTGTTCTGAGTACTTTGGTATCAGTGTGTGAAGTCCCCAGTTGTCTGAGTTGGGCATCTTGATTTCTCCCTGTGACACCAGGGTGTGAAAATGTGTCTTCAGTCTTCAATTCTGAATTGTTTGGTTAGTTTTTTTTTTTTAAGGCTGATAGCAGCATAAGTTGCAGAAGTCATATGGGGGTAGTGTTAGTGATGGCCAACACAGTCTGTGCTTTAGTGTTCTCTCAGGTGTCAGATAACTTTGGGAGCTATGATTGTTAATGAACTTGAAAACTTTGCTTAGAAATTTCTGGTTTTGGGGATGTATCTGCTTTCAAAACTCCTTCTGGAGCCAAAGGGATCAGGCTATCTTCTAGGAAAACATATCTTGTTTTCTTAAATAATTCCTAGTCCTTCAGTAAGTCTTGAACCTATTGGTCAATTTGAGGCAGCAAAGATGATGGGGAGGTGTCCTGAAAGTGTGTTTGCTGACTTCTTATGTTTTTCTTCTTCCTTTCCCTTGTGCTCAACTTGCATATGAGATCCTATTAGTCTTCTGAGGGAGGAGCAGGAAGGGTTTGAGTCTTACCTGTTCCGTTTTTGGCAGCAGCTGCCTCATCGGTCACCATATGTGTATTCATCGCAGTGGAGACACAGCAGGGGTGGTGCCAAAGGAGACAGAGGAAAGGAAGCTTTTTTCATTCTGCCTCATCGTTGCATAGTTTGTTTCTCTGCCATGTGTAGAGATTCTTTTCATTGCTCTGTAATGAATTACTGCTGTGTGATTATGTTTGTTGCTTGTGTGTGGAGGAGAGGGGCTGTCCTCAAGGGAATTCACTTGTACATATCAGATGTCTAAAGTGGCAGGTTCTTTAGAGAGGTTTGTGCTCTTTTTCCTGTAGCTTAGGTTTGATCCTGCCTTATTTTGTAAATGCAAACTGAAGGCCATTATAATGGATTGGCAGATGTTACAACCTGAAAAAGGAAAGTGTTTGACTAATTGCAGGTAATCTCTGGGCGTGTAGGTTACTTCTCTCTGCAGTTTGGAGAAACTTGGTAAGGAGCAGAAGCAAGGTGTTTCTACTAGGGGAGAGTGCTTTGAAAATAAATGTAGGAGTGATTGGAAACAAACCTACTACCGAAGGAGCCTGTATGCACTTTTTTGGATGCAGGAAAATGCTCAGACTTGAACCAAAAAGCATCGAGGAGACTGAACATTGTCTAGTCAAATGCTAATATGACTTGCAGCAATGCAGCTCATTAAAGTATTTTTGTGCCTTTATTATTATAAGTTAAGGCTTCTCTAGGATCCTGCCTGAGTAATGATGAGAACCTGCTAATCTTAACAAAGATCTCCAGTTTTCCTGGTCCTCTGTGGCTAGTTGTTTTGGTCTTAGAAGGCCAAATTTTCCATGAAAAATAGATGGGAATGCAAGGAATGGAGAAAAATGTCAGAGGACAAATGACTTTATTGGCAAGATTGATCCTAACTGTTCTTTAGATTCTGGGGCATTCCAAGGCAACAAATGGTATATTCTGTTGAATATGCAAATAGGTGATGCATATTGCAGAAAGGAGGATATAGCTTGTGTGAAACACGAATCTACTTCCCCTGTGGATGAATGGTTCAATAGCTTTGTTTTGTTTGCAGAGTTCCTTCCTACCATCTCCTTTGACCTCTAGTACTGCTCACTGCAAACAAGTTACTGTGCCTGTGTGATTGCGTGGTGTTACCTACGCCTGTGGTGTATTCTTAAATTGAGAACGGTTGTGTACTGAAAATGCAAACATGCATTGTTACGGCTCTCAGGAGAGGAGCTGTGGGAGAGTGCTGACAGTTGGGTAGGAGGTATTTGGGATAAACCCTGCTGATATGAATGAAGGTGATACTTGTCTCCATTTGGAGTCTGCACAGATGCAGGGAGCAGAAAAATTCTTCCAGACTTGTGAGTTATATAGTCCAAGGTACAAATTTGTGATTGGGAAAGCTGAAATGAGAAATCTGTTGAACAAAATCTTTTATAAAGAAATAATCAGGACAGTTCTGACCAGACTGACCTCAAAGGTTGGTAAGTTGGCCTCGCTGCGTTTATAGAAACTGTCTGGTTGAGGAGTTAATGTTGTGTGATGGGTAAATGCATGCACATAAAGGAGCAGGGAAAGCATGTGGATCATTGCAGCTGGTTCATGGCTGCGATCATTCTTGCTTCTCTGAAGTATTCATTTGCCTTTTACATTGTGAACTTAAGCTATCTTACTTGAACATCTTACTGCTTTAATTCCTAGATGGGAATGATGAGCAATCCCAGCCCTTACAGCCAGCCATATAGTCAGAATACCGGGCAGCAGATTGGAGCCAGTGGACTTGGGCCTCAGATGCAGAATAAAGCTGGACTGCAGAATAGCTTACCACAGTTTCCAATGGACAAGAAGCCAGTTCCTGGGGCAGATGAAACATGTCTCCAGAAAATGTCGTAGCAGACCAAAGTGGAGCAATATGCTCTGGTGTTGTCATGTTATTGTTTTTGCAGCTGCCATACCCTATGTGCGCTCTGAATCCACACATAACGCACTTGCTTCAACTCCTAAAACTGCTGATATGGAGGAGAGGGCTGAGTTGTGCTTTCTCTGTTGATAAGCTGCACCTCCACTCTTCGCCTCTCAAGCCCTGTTAGCAGAGAAAATGAAATGATGCTCCTTAACTGAAGGGACCTTTGCCACATGTTTGGACACCTCTGCTCTCCTCTCCCGCCCCTTCTCTTGTGGCTGGTGTATTGGGCCCCTTCTCCTCAGTGTAGCTGTGTCTTGAGGATTGTTTTCCTGCTTGTACTCACTGATGCTTTTGGGAGAAAGAAGTATCCCTTCTCAAACAGGTGCTACCTATGATAGGGCTTAGAAGCCCCAGTCGTGCATTCATTCCTGTTCTGAATTACGTGAACACACACGACAGTCCTGATGCTGGAGGTTCCCTGGCAGTTGTTGCTGTAGTAGCCCTATTGCCTCCCCCTTCCCCCCCGCCCCCCACACTGTTATTGCAGCAGGACTTAAGGAAAGGGGAAGTAGGAGTGGTGGGAAAAGTGGATGGCCAAAAGGTGGATGCCCTAAGCTTATAAATGACAGGCCTTAACATTAGGTTCCCTAGCTTGAGCTTAACACTGGTGGCTGAATGTGTTTGCCTCATTATTTTAGAAGCTTAAATTCGTTAGGGGTATGACATGCAACATGTCCTGCCTTTTTTTCCCCCCTACGTATATTTTTTTAATTTGGGAAACAAATTCACATTTGTGAATATAGCTTGTGTTTCTCCCTGCTTCAAATTCTACCCCACCGCCACACCCCAGGAGGGTCAGTCTCTTGATCTTAGTAATTGTTGCTGGAAAAACCATTTCCAGGTAACTTTTGTACCTTTGAATTAAAAAGAGCTCATTCCTGTGAGTTTTATTTAATGTGTTTTAAGCTGAGCATGAAACATTGGAAGCCTAGCAAACCAGTTTGTTGTATGAATGAATAAAGAAGCAGCCAAAACTTGCTGTTCAGTGTCAAGCTTGCGTTCAGTGCAGAGTATATAACTTTTGAAGTTGAAATGCTACCCAGCTGAACCTAGGAATGAAAAGTTGCTGTTATCTCAGTTGTCCTTTAGAATGACAGGCTGCAAACAGGGTGGTTATGGTCCTATTGGAACAGATACAAACCCTGAGGGGACTGAGTAATTGGTGAAGTCTCCTTGTAAAATGAAAGGTTAATACTAGTATTGAAGAGCTATGGGAGAACTGGGGTTTAGGAGTGCAGGTAGCTGAGCTCTAAAAATCTGGAGATCTCCAGAAATATCCTCTAAAACCCTCTGTGAAGAGTCTGTTAGAAACTGAAGGCTGTTGAACTGAAGTGATACAAGCAACATATTGTTCCTGAGCCTCTCTTCTTTGCTGAAGAATTACTCCTCAAATGTCACCTGGAAGAAGTACGAAGAAGTCTGAAGAAATAAACAGAAGTACGGAAGAAGTACTAGATGTTGCCATACTTGATATTAGTTCTGTGGCATGTATTATCCTGAAGTTGTGCTTCATCTCGAGCGGAGACTAGGAGATGCTTGTTTTGAATGCGTATGTGCAAGTTTCCCAATGGAAAGAGGTTGCCAGAACTTCCCCTTCATTCTTCTTTTCTAGGAACAGTCAGATTGAGGCACCTATGCTGAAATAGAGGGAAAACTATTCACTCTAAAAGGTGCTTTCTTCCGTTAACGCAAGAACTGTGGATGTAACTTTCTAGCCTCCAAAATGAGGAGGAGATTTGATGTTTAAGTGCTATTAATATTTTCTGATTGGTCTAGCACTGCAAATTAACCTGTGAGCATGTGCAAAGTTCTGCTGGTCTTTGATAAGACAAGAGCTAGGACTAGGAGAGTGATATGGGGAAGAAATTGTGGCTGGCAAGAGAATTATTGCCCGGACTGTTGCTAAGGGGTATATTTAATATGAGTCATCTAGAACTACAAATAGATGGGCTATTCCCTTAATCGCAGAATGTATAGTTGTTTCTCTTTGATTTTGTTGTTATTGTTTACTTGCTAAATGGATTATTCTCAAAAATAGATTTATTTCTGGGAATTTCCTTTCCACCTTCTCCAGGGCCAGCAGCAGGCTCCCCAAGTTCAGCAAGCTGGGATGGGGCCAGCAGCTTCTCAAGGAATGGGGTCTGGAGCACCAACAGCAGATCCAGAAAAACGCAAGCTCATTCAGCAGCAACTAGTTCTCCTCTTACACGCTCACAAGTGTCAGCGGCGAGAACAGGCCAATGGGGAGGTGCGACAGTGCAACCTCCCTCATTGCCGAACCATGAAGAATGTCCTGAACCACATGACACATTGTCAGGCTGGCAAATCTTGCCAGGGTAAGTGGAGGAGTGGTTATATAGATGCGGTCAACATTTGCAGGATGAGAAGGGCTCCTAGAAAGAGATGGAGAACTAGTGGGTGGCTTGGGAAATAGATTTTTTCTTTTTTTTTAACCTATCTGTCCCCTTAAAAATGGAAAACAACTTCTGAGCCTTTAAATTTTAGGCAAGTTAGAGGGGACAAGATAGCACAAAGAGATGAGTGAAGATCTTTTGCATAACTTTGTAACTCACTGCAAGATCTTTTGGATGGGGTCTTCTGATAAGGGTAGACACAAAGGAAGAATCTGCAAGTAGGAGTCTATCTGTCTCCCTTAAATGGAAGAGACAAATCTCAAGCAATAGCTAGCCAGGAATTAAGCTACTACTGACACTGGTGAACTCTTAGTCTAGCCTAGTAGCCAAGGAAAATATATGCTACCTTTTTGGTAGCCTAGGCTTGTCTGGGTTGTGCCAATTGCTGGCATCTCAATTGCGTGGTACAGTCTGCCTCATGCCTGCTGTATATGGTGTTATGCTTCGAGTCAGGGGGACATAGGCTTGGGTGTATAACAGAGCTTTCAAGTAAGCTTTAGTTGAGCCAATAATACTTGAAGAAATCTAGCTATATTTTCAGGACTAGTTAGTGCTGAACTATTTCAAGTAATACTTGTGTTGATATAGATGTGTGCCCTGAGAGAAATAGTTGCTCCCTACTCAGTTTGTGTTGACCACGTGGAGATACTGGCAGTAGATTGTAAAAGTTTTTCATTCCCCTCCCTTTCTCAGTGGCACATTGCGCGTCTTCCCGACAAATCATCTCGCACTGGAAGAATTGTACGAGACATGACTGTCCTGTATGTTTGCCTCTCAAAAATGCTGGGGACAAAAGAAATCAACAATGTAAGTCTACTGGGGAATTCTGTGCATTGGATAAACCATAAAATGCATGTTGGGAGTTAAACTTTATTGCACTCAGGTGGTAGTGGTGATGCCCTTGAAGCTGGGAACATATAATAAGATCTTCCTCTTGCTTTAGAGTCACAGAGTTATTTTTCTGTCTCTGATAACTAGTGTTTATGGAAGCTTTCTAACTTCATTGGATTTTCCTAGCAGGAGAGTAGTAAGGGTGAACGAGTCATAGCTCAACCAAATGATGGGCTTTTCACTACCACCTCTTCCAGCTGGCCAGGTTCTGGAGACAAATTTGCACACACACAGAGGGTTGTGTCATGTCAGTCCTGATGATATTTGTTTCTGTCTTCATTCTTTGTTTGCATCAGATGTCTCTTACCCATTCTCTTTGTGTCCCCTTGGTCTTCCTGCCAAAATTTTTGGCAAGATTCTTGTCATTGTGTTACCTATATGGGTTTTTTTTCTCCTTTGTTAATGTAACTTTGGGGTCTTCTCATGACTAATGTGAGCTGAGATATTTGGTGTTTTGAGAAAATTGAAAAAAAACAGAAGGCATTACAATAGCTGCTGAAGATACACCCTTCTGCCTTTAGCCCCTGTGACATGGCGTGCCTCTGTTTTCAGTTTGAAGCAAACAGATGTGTCCTAAATACTTAGAGTGGGATTTCCTCTCAGCAGCTCAAAGGGGAAACAACATGTTGTTGGAATGGCTGGTTGGGTCAAAACTTGTCTCCCTGTTTCATGACACGTTTTCCAGACCTGGCCTCTTCTCTGCATGCTTCTATGAGGAGATGTTTTAGTTCTGAACAGCCAGTGCACATTTTGTTCTTTCCCTGTTTTTGTGGACCTCTTTGGTTACCTCTTGCTGTCCTTATTAACTTGGTATGTCTCTTCCAGCGCTGCTGGGTGGAGCTGCAGTAGGACTTGCAAATACTGGCTCTGTGGGCGTGGGGCAGCAGACAACGCCCAGCATAAACACTACCAGTCAGATAGACCCCAGCTCCATCGAGAGAGCCTACGCAGCCCTTGGACTGACCTATCAGGGGAACCAGATGCAGACACAGCCCCAGGCTCAAGTGAAGAATCAGCAACAAGGACAGTCACCCCAGGGTCTGCGCCCTATGAATCCTATGAGTAAGTTTATCTATTAGTGTTAAAATACAAACTATAGGCAACTTTCCCATGCTATAGCTAATGCAAATTTTCTTAACCTACTAGCTTAATACTGCTAGTTAATTTGCAAAAGGTATGACTTTGCAATATTTTAGAATCGAGATAGCAAGCTACTCAGTGGAACAGGAACGTTAGAGGGCCCAGATGCCTTCTTTTGGAAAACAAGTTCTCTGGGAGAAGTATTTTCTTTGGAAAAATGATATTTTGGGGGGTTTGGTTTCTTTTTTTGAGAACCAGTTTTCCAAAGCATTTTATTTATTGTTGTTTTGTAGCTTTATAATTGTACTGTAATGCAAGTTTCAGGCTTTTTAGGAGGTTTTAGTTGGAAATGCATGTATTGGAATGCCTGTACTTGTCGCTCAGACTGCAGCATTTTACAGTTATCTCTCAGATATGTAATGTTTGTTTAAAAAATGAAAATAGTAAATAACAGACTTTCTCTCTGAATCCTGTCATGTGGACTTACATAACTGTAAATTGTCTGGGTGGCTTATTGCAAAATCACAAAAGACTACATAAGAATTTTAATTTGAAGTGCAATTAATTCTAACCTGGCTCTCTCTGGTGTCAAAGGAAGTAACCTTTAACCATCAAATCTAATTTTGGTAGTTTGAGATTATATCACAGGAATCTTTCTCACCCCCAGCTCTTCGCTTGAGTTGCTTAAGCAGAGGTGTTCTTTTTCAATGGAAAATACGAAAGATGAGCTGGTAGAGATTTATCACAAGCTTGTATGGGATTGCAGTGATCCTGCCTATATGCCCCATGACAAGCTCGTGTACGGAATGAGTGGACAGGGATGCCATGGG